GGCGGCTTTTCAGGATCTGTTCTCAGCACATTGTAAGTGTTGTGTCGGCATCCAAGAGTTCCTTTTTGTTAGCATCTGTCTGGTTGGCAAATACCAGGTCTAGACTAGAAGGGACCGCATAGGTTGTTGCAGGCAAAAGGGCCCACTTGGGTTCAAAAGGATCTGCAAGAATATCTGTTCTTCTGCCCTCCCTCTCTCCCCACATGCAGACACTCCACAAACGCCAGAGCTGCCTGACATAAACTGGGAGGCTCTTGTACAAAAAACTCAAGAGCCTTTCAGACTACTTTAGCAGAGAGCAGGAGAGGCAAGGACACACATGATGCCCTGGGGTCGCTGCAGTGGCAGGGATTTTTTTAGGTAAAATATGCCACATAATCCTAGGAATTGGAGCGTGCTACAGAAAAGCGGGTGAGAGGAAACAACTCTTGCTTGCTATGACACACAAATCTCCATCTTATTGATATATTTGAATAGGAAGGTTGTGGTTGTACAGAGTTCCTGTTTACCTTTTTGACTGCTTTTTACTCTTCTCAAAACCAGTGGTATAGTATCTTGTTTGTGCTGTTAACTGATTTTGCTAATGTTGTAGGCCTGTTTGTATACTGGAATGTAAGGTTTTTTTAATTTGCTGGGGGAAGGGGGTGTAACTTGCAGTTCTTTCAGTCCCCACAAAAAGGTCAAGCTCTGACCAAGCTTTTCCAAGCTCTGTAAACTTATTTGGATATGGAACAAATACAGAGTTACCCCACTCGGTTGTACCTGGTGACCTTGCTTCCAGCACTTACTACTTTCTTCAACGTTTTATTCCAAAATGAAAGGATTTCTCAGAGTCTATCTATACTTGTTCTCTTAAATAGGAAATGTGTATTTATGATTTTAAGATATTTTGACCTTTGTAAATTCACTGTCCATTGTCTAGGGCCAAATATTGGATGATGTAAGTGTGACTAATTGCAGAAGAGGGGATTGTTTAGATTCCTTAAATCTTTTCATTTTCAGTGTTTTAACTTCTTTATTCTTGCTTGTTTTTAAATGAAATGGTTGGGCCTGGGGATACTAGGTGGGCTCCACTGAAGCCTTTTCCAATATGGCTTTTATTAACCACAATTTTTGCTTGAAAGTTGGAACGGATCTACTTTTTTTTTCTTTCTTTACCGACTTTACTCAGTTCTCATAACTTGTTTCTACTTATCATGGCTTTACTTCTTGCTCAGCATACATAGCGTCACTGCTATAACTTCATTCCATTCACCTTGCTTGTATGACGCTTAGCAGTTTCTGAGTCTGTTAGCTATTTTCCTGAACTGGTAAACATAAAACGGTCTATCAGCCTCTTCATTCTGTTCTTTCTATTGGTTCTCTTCTCCTTTTTCATCTGTAGCATGGGTGGTGTATTTTGAAAATGGGGTTTGACCTCTGAATGGCTTTCAAAACTGGCTAACGTATTTGCCTAAAAATAGGTGAAACTGGGTTGTAGGAAACAACTGGCTTCCTTCAGATTAGCTGAATCACTAAGCTAAATTAGTGTGTATTAAGAAAGGAACTGCAGTTCATATTATTAGTTTAATATAGTAGAAAGGGCTAACTGGTAAATGTGCAGTATTGGAGAAGCTTGAGAGTTGTGTTTTAAATATTCTGAAAATGCTCAGTTCCACAAATAGCCTGCCTGTATTGTATGAATTGGCTTTTGGGTAAGGCTGTTTATTCTAACTTGAAAGTCAGTCCAACAGACTCTGAGATGATAGGAAGTTTCTTTCCTTAATTTTGTCTTGAGTGTGTGTTTCTCTCCTGCCCTGCTGAGATCACATAGGTGTTTTCTGCTTAATAAATACGTTGCCAATGGTCCATTGATAATTTAGAACTTGTAGTACTCATTTTTGTTCTTTTCTTTCAGATTACAGCAAAAGCAGCAGTCATTTTTGTTACACTTCAGTACAATGTTACAATTCCTGCCACAGGTGGGTTTCTTTAGGGAGTTTAGATACCAGTGGGGTAGAGAGAATTATAGTCTTCATAAATTGACCCATTCTTAATTTCAAAGGATAGAGTTTAAAATTGCTTCTGTGATAAAATGTTAATGCTGTTTTGTTGTGTTTATCATCAATAAAATGGTATCAACATGCCTAGTTTCTGCATACATCTAGATATGAGGCAGGCATTCAGATAAGTGTGAATGCATTTAGCAACTTTATCCATAAAACTCTGTCTCTGCAAGTTGTACTAATAAGAGGGAGACACGTTATTTAAACGTTAACGGTGCCCCTTCTAAAGAATTCTGCTAGCTTGCTTAAATGCATTAATTATATTTTAATTTTAATTCTTTCCAGAAATAGTTCTGTGTTAAGTGGTAGGATGGAGATAATTAGTAGAAGTTAAGGTTACTGGTTTATCCCAGGGGTGGGGGCAGGCAGCACAGTGGCAGATAGGGCAGGAAGCAGACAGCAGAGCAGCAGATCATCACAGAGCAGACAGAAGATTAGACAGGGAAAGGGGAGCAGAGTAGCACTTGGGGAGGGTGCAGGGCTAATTTGTTGCACACCTACAAAAAAGTTTGGGCCCCCACTGACTTAGCCAGTGATGACAGACCATAGATTTAAATTTAGTTTATACTCGGTACACACTAATATCTTAATCTCTTATCAGAAAAATACTTCTTTGAGAAATAGATACAATAGATACAATAAATACAATAGATTAATAACTGGATTAAATGAGATCCTAGTATTTAACTCTTTAAAATCTGGGGTTTTTTTGTCCTTCAGAAGAACAATCTGCAGAAACTGTCTCTCTCTATTACTATGGTTTCAAAGACTTGGCTACAATTTTCTTCTACATGCTGGTAGCAATAATCGTACATGCCATTATTCAAGAATATGTGTTGGATGTAAGTACAAAATATTCATCATCTTTATTAAGATGACAAACATCAGTTACTATTACATTTTTTAACATTTAAAATAAGTTTTAAAAATTAGAATGTATGATCATGGAATATGTTAATTTCAATTTAAGATACTGTGTGAAAAATAAGACATGTAACACCTGAAGTAGATTTGTTTTAACACATTTCTCAATTCATAACTTCTGTTCTAGAAAATTAACAGGAAAATGCACTTTTCTAAAACGAAGCATAGCAAGTTTAATGAATCTGGACAACTGAGTGCGTTCTACTTTTTCTCCTGTGTTTGGGGCGCGAGTATTCTTGTCTCCGTAAGTATGTCTTGTCTTGCATTTATAGTGTTGGATCTCAGTCGTTTGCAGTAAGAAAATAACTTCCTCTAGTGCTCATCCATTTATTGGAGCAAAGACTAATCCTTTGCAAAATCCTCTTAGATCTCGGTTGTAGCTAAATATCGGTAGCACTCACTCCTGAATCCTTGGCTTTGTCTTTTGAACAGCAAGTTAGAAATAGACACAGGACTCTTCATCTGTATTTATTTTGACCCTTCATCGCAATCTGACTGAGTAAATTACTTCTAGTTTATTATTTTTAAGAACAATTATACAACCCCTCCCATCACCACCAGTAATTAAACTTTTAGATATGGGGGCAAATCTCACCTCAGATTTGAGTAAATATAGTAAACATGGTTCTCATTTTTGGATATTGTGAGGCTTTGTTAATACTTGGGGAGTTTGAGGGTCTTCAAAAAGCAAAACTTGAAATATTTATTCTTTACTAAGCTTGACTTCTGCTTCTGGAAACTCTTCTTACTCAGAGTAATGCTAAAGGCTTATGTAACTAAAGAAGCTTACTGATGGTATGATACTGCTGTAGTTTTAAGTTTACTGACACCCCCCCATCCCCCCCCCCACACACACACACATGTGGGTGCATCTTGAGCATTTTGTTTCTGTATGTGGATTTTGGAGTATGATTTCTAAACTAAAAATGGTAATCAGTAGCATTATCCATTTTCAGGAGAACTACGTATCCGATCCAACGTCTTTGTGGAAGGACTACCCTCATACTCTGATTCCGTAAGGCTTTTTTTTTTTCCCAGACCGTTGGAAAGTAATAATTATCTAAGATTTATAGTACAGTTCTGGTTCATGGCTTAGACCAACTACTGGGCAGAACTGTGGGAGTGGTTTAAATATGTCATTATATGATGCAAAAACTTGCTGCTCTCCTCATTTGGAACATCCAGAAATCAAATTTCTGCAGGGCAGAGAGGGAAGTTGCTAATAAGATTTAGCCATTTCTTGTAATAACTTCTGGGAAGAATGAAATGTTTTATTAGTGAGAAAAATGTGCATTCCTCTTGTTGTTTATCCATAGGTTTTAGAAGTTTGCAGGAAAACTTTTTGGAACGTTTGAACTAGGAATATAGTTACCAAACAGACTTACTGTATATATTTTCTTGCTGTCTCATGCAGATTTCAAATGAAATTTTTCTACATCTCTCAGTTGGCGTACTGGTTTCATGCTTTTCCGGAACTGTACTTCCAGAAAACTAAAAAGGTAAGCAAAAAAAAAAAAAAAAAAATCTCATGTTAAAACAGCAGTACTTTTACTATTAAGTGTGTCAGGGAAGGGATTTAATATGATTATATGAATGTATATGCTTGCATATCAATTGATATATTTTGGTCCACAAGAAACAAACATACTTCTGGTTTTTCTGTATTCATGGAGAACTTATGAGAGAACCATCTGCTTACTGGGGAATATATTACTTAAAAATAAATTTCAAGTAGTCTTTTTAAATACCTGCAGTTACTTCAGTGTTTACTTTGTGAACATGTCTGTTCTGTCTGTGGGAGCTTGCACTCTAATATTACTTCAAAGCAGTTCCTGTGATGCAAAGTTGGGTTGCAATTCTGTTGTATCACTTGAAGTTCTGATTTTGCAGTTCTCTTTGCATTTTCCATTTTAACAGATGGTAAAAGTATTTTTTTTTTTTAATCAATTGTTAGAAAAACAAGAAACTACCTTTTATAGCTTTGGGTCATTTATTTCCACCACATTCAAGTAATGGCATAGTCAGTTCAACTCTGAAGTCTCACAGTTCGTAGTTTTCCTATTTGTTACTATTGAAGACAACTAATTCTTGCCAATTAAGGTCCTAATACAAAATTGTTTAATGGTTGAGAATTCATACAGATTAGGCAGTGAAGATTGCCAAATTTGCCAGCTTTGGGGAGTCATGAATAGTTTTCTCTGAAAGAGATTGTCAACTGCCTCAGATAAGGCAAAGAACTGTAAGAAACAGCATATGTATGTATGTTCAGCAAAGGGAGAATGCTGCAAGGTTTTACCATCTAAAGGCAAGCTTGGTATGCAGGCCATTATAGTTGACCTTGAGATACATATAAATAGGAATTCGGTAATATAACTTGTTGTCTTCAGAAACATGGAATTTTTTTTCTTTCCAAAAGTTAGTTTCAGTTTCAAGTCTTATAAATGGTGATGAGTCTAAAAGACCACTTTAATACATTTTTCAAGTCAAAGCAGACAACCTCTGGGCAGATGTTTTCCTTCTGTATAATCTATGATGCAGCAGCTGAAAAGCTGTTGCTCTTAGATATTATCACTTTTATGAACTTCTAGGTATGTACTAACTAAAGCAGGTTCAACAGAGAACTTCAAATTATGTTGATTATACAAATTGAGAACTCTGAAAGAATTGTGCCAGGAGCTGACGAGTGGAACTAATGGTTCCAATACCTCTCAGTTATTGCTGTCTCTCCTATTTTCCTTTTTTGCATCTTTCCATTCTTTCTGCTGCACAAAGATGTCTACCAAGTTTGTTGTTTTTCAGGCACTTAACATTGAAATATCAGATCCCTGCTCCCGTCCCTCTTACAGGAGTATCCTAACAAGCAAGGAACACCAGTTGTTCTTAACATCTTTTTAGACTTGAGGCGCCCCTGGATCAACCCGAGACATTCTTCAGAAGATGCCAGGTCTTAGTTTTCACTTTTTTTGCCTACAGAAAAACAATAGAGCAGTTTTTTCTGTTGCAAAAAAAATCAGAAAGACCATAATGTTGGATTTCTATTTAAAATCTCTGGGTTTATCTAGTGATTCCCATTTGTAAACTGAACAGTAGTAACTTTGTGTGGCACCCTTGAAAGGATCTCAAAGCACACCAGGGAGCCATGGCACTCTGGTTGAAAATCACTGTCTATGTCATGATTAGGGATCTCCGTAATTACATTGGAAGTTCCCCCTGCAGTGACCCCTTTAATGGTTTTTCATTTCACTGCTTACCACCTCTTCCTCCCCTGATTGGTGGAAGGGCCCTGCCGGCCAACCCATTTGCCACTGGTCCCCGAAGAAGGAAAAACTGCAGCATACTTTAAAACATCCACCAATCAGAGTGGGGGGGCAAGCAGTGAAATGAAAGCATTAAAGAAGCTGTTGCTGGGGGGCACTTCCAGTGTGATTTACGGAGATCCCTAGTCATGATAATAATTGAGGCTGCAGTCTCTCTCCTCCCACTCCCCCCATTCCCAGCAAGGAAT